AATCCAGGCGTCTCACATCTTTGTCGCTGCTCTCCATCCCCGATCTGGTTATTTTAGTCCGGCTTATGTAAGACACTACCTGTTACCCACCTGTTCGGATGTGCGACGATTAAACTTTACCTATTAATGTTTGTAACAAAAATCATCCCATATCCTATTCCATGAGATAATTAACTTCTGTATCAAATTCAACTTCATCCGGTCGCAGTGAAACAGAAAGATATAGATCCAGACAAACGTACTAAAATGGACTCAAATTGTTAATTTCCTCCTACTATAGAGTACTCCTTTATTAGTTTAACGAATAATTCTATATTTATTTGCATTGAGTCTGGCTAATGATAAGAAAATTGTCATTTTAGATATATATCTGACGCTTCTCGTGGGGCTATCATTGTGTATGATGTATTTTCCGAGGATGGGTGGTCTGTGACAGTGTGTGCACCGGACTTTGCGGTCCAACTGGCTCTCGTAAAAAAGGGACCGTTACATACGTCACTTTTGTTAAGCAGAATGAGCAACAGAGGCCTTTTGGAACTGGACACTACATCTCTAAAGAAAAAGAAAATGCACTCTTCGTTAACAGGTAAAACACGATAGAATTAAATTGATTCATTATTTCAAAAGAGATTGAAATTTGCATCAGGACGATCATACAAATATAGCGTAATACCTACTTCCTGGCACGTGTAAAGATTACATAAAATTATTTCAGAACTATTCAGACGAATAGCTTTATATAAAATGTATTATTTTTAAATCAGAGAGTTATGCGTATCGTCAGGACCGATGGTACGCACCGACGATCGGTCGAGCTCTAAAACCGGCCTCACAGAATACCAGCGTAAAATAGTAGCTTAATGCTACTGTGTTTCGTATGGTGAATGTAGAGAACCGGAGACCCTTTTTACTGGAAAGGAGTCTAACACCCGTATTTATAAACAAGGAAAACTAATTACTTGAGTAAAAGTATTTACTTAAGTAACGATTTGTATTCGATAGTTAAGTAATTGCTCCAAGTTAGAACTGTCAAAAGTTGGAATACTCAGTCAAGTAATAGTCACCATTTCCTTTACTTAAGCACTACTTTGAGGTTATTTTGGATAAAAAATGGAAACTTTGGATAGCATTGGAACGGTTTTTGCTGTTGTAGACAATATAGATGATAATATAATAGAAAAAAATATATTAGAGGAGATAGAATTCGAATTTATTTTATATATATATATATATCGAATAAATAATAAATTTGTGTTAATCGTCGTTCGTAAGTTTTAACATACGGAATTTTATGCTTTCGAATTGTTGGTTATTTCGAAACCTTTGACAGTAAGCCAAAACATCGTTCATAATAATGAAGAACGATGTTTATGAACACAGAAACAACCACCAAGCGTAGAGTTTTACTTGGGCATTTGCTCAAGTAAGTAACGTGTGTTACTCAACTATAGAATGAGATTTTGTAATTAAGAATTCTAACCTTAAGTAATGACTTAACTAATAAATTACTTAGCAAAAAGTAATTACTTCTTTATAAATACGGGTATTATTCTAGGTCTTAGTCCTCACGGGTGACAACGCATTTGCGTTTTGATTCATAATCGAGGATATATGTAGATGTCTATGGACCACAGCAATCACTTACCATCACGTGGACTGTGTGCTCGTTTGTCACCCTTCTCCTATATATATATTTAAAAAAAAACGTAGCTACAGCAGCATTTTAACTTCAACGAGGGCTAAAAACCGCTTTCACATTTGAGAACTATGGTGGAATGTCGCAGTCTGTAAATATTCACTCATTCTGTATCGTCTGTACTTTTTACAATTGTGTCATGAGTAGGTACTATTTGGGTACTAAAACTAAACACTTTGCAATGTTCTCTTATGCACTTTTTTGCAGGCGCTAAGTATATCTCATTAACCGACTTCAAAAAAGAGGAGCTTCTCATGTGGTCTGATATAAATTCGATCAAGATCTGACCAGTAACTGTGAATATCTTTAACAATGCGTATTTAATTTTTAAAATCATTTATATTAAAATCGGTTTTACAAAATTTTTAATTTTATCACTTGTTCCTTGATCATGTCTCAGTTTATCACTGCTAAAAAGCTAACCTTAAGATACGTGAAATGAATTATTTACTAACACATTTCTGCTAACTAGATGTTTTATTTAAATTAAATGTTCTATCTTCTTCCAGTATTAGGTGAAAATGTAAGGGCGATGTTTCTACTTGGATTCGATACCCATCACTTATATTTACGACACGCCGAATGCGCCGATGTTCTATCATGGGATACGCGAAAATCTTACAATTCGTCCAATCTTATAAATATTCACTCGGCTGGTCCACATATGGCACCCACCTCAGTATCAAGAGATCCTCTTAAATATGTTCTCCTGGTGCTCGACTCAAACTACGCGGAGACAGTCCGTGGGAAAAATGCAACATACCATAAATTAACATTTATCGGACAAATATAACAAACAACGCTTCTAAATTTATATCTAATTGTTATACCTCAATACGACAGGAAATGCAAAATTACTAAACATCTTTATAGCGTGAATAGTCAAATTAAATACAGCCCACTCATATGGAAGATGGTTTCGCTGAGCGAATGTTTTTAAAGAGTAAAATTAAATAAAACAAAACAAGATAGAGGTGCACATAACACTTATATATTTAACATAACGTGTTGAAATTGAAATAAACATTTTTAAATTAAAACAACGAACATAATTGCTATAAATATTCGCAGACAAAACGACCATATTTTAAAGAAATAAACTATCGAACTATTTTATGATATACTCACTTATTATTACACAACTGCATTCACGAAAAAATGATATCAAACATTATGTGAATTTTTCAATCTTCACACAAATTTATTGTAAACACTTTTATAATGTATGTTTGTTTTTACATTAGGCCATTTATCTTCGATAATAAAAGAAAACTTAAAATACTATTTTAAGCCAGTCGTTTAATTCTTAGTATAATGTACAAAAAGTTGGGAGCGAAATGTAATTAATATACATTACCACCTTAATCAGATTTGTTTTATTTTAGCATACCCTTTGACAGAAGCTTTGACAAGCCCGAAATTACAGGTTTTTTTTCGTTTAAAAACTTTTCTATGTTACTTGGGAACTTGAGAAGAAATAAAAATGCCACAATTTTTTACAACAAAACACATATAACATAAACAATAATAAATTATACTTAATATGGTTTCTAAACACAATTTTCACTTGCGTGAATTGCGTACTTTTAGTGGTTGAGATCGATAATGCATATAGACAAAGGTGTTAGTTAGCTTGGTTATAATCACATTAATGAAGTAAGCACCGCGCCATTTTCTTTCAGACTATTATAACACTGTTACTTAAATAGGCCAATTATGCAATACAATAGTGATTGTGCCTTACAACACAAATGTGTCTTTTATATAGGTTTTTTTTAGTTCATGCAATTCACGTGTGGTCGACCTTTGGATGTGGTTCGACATGTACAGTGACAGTTCCAAAGGTGACCGCACTCGTGAATTGCAAGAACAATAATAAAAATAAGAATACAAACATCACATAAAGTGCAGTTGATAATATATCAATATCAATTAACCATCCAATATTTACAATATTCTATCCAAAGCAAATATTGTTTGATACAAAGTTAATAAATTAGGGTGTAAAATGTATATAAAGATCATAATATATTTACATTATTTCACATGAAACTATGTTAAAGTCATATGTTAATTCAAAATATATACATATTATTACGGAGGCGTTTTGACACTTAAACATATTTAAGTCGTAACGCTTCCAAATTTCATAATTTCAATTATCACACAACCAAAGCAGAACCTAACGTTCTGAACAGGTATCTGCTAAAATCAATTTTATTAGTACTTCCATTTTTATGTAATGTCGGTTGGTTTCGTTAATCCGCCCAAACTATATTTATGTTAATCTTTTAATTACATATCTATACAGCCAAGGCACAAGTGTGGTATTTGTAATGATAACATTGTTTATAGTATTTCACCTACAAATCCGTATACAAAAAACCACATCAATGTACTGAAGTTGAAATTAATGTTTTTACGTTGCAATATTCACTGAGAGGAACCAAATATACAAGTTAGAAAATGAAACTAGTCAAATGAGACGATATAGGTGATAAAATAAATAATTAATAAGGAGTAATGGATCTACAAATATTCGTACATTCTAAATTAAATTAGTTAAACACAAATTCTAAAGCATTAAATTCATTGGTATTATTTTTTTTTCACCAAACTTGAATGCAATGAGAAATACTGAAATTGTGTACATATTATCGGTATATAGTATGGAGATTTTTTTAATCATGCGTGAATTAAAATACTAACAGAAATATGAACATATTTTAACCAACATTGGCGGAGGGAAGTTAATATTAAATGATTTAAACAGTCAGCTGTTAAAATTATTAAGAACGCTAAAGCTGTTAGAGACAAAAAATTAAAACTATATAATATAATATATATTAATCCATAGATCAATTGCAGTGTTATGATCACGATTTATTAAGAGCCAAGGAAGTTCAATATAAACTTGAATATAAACATAATATGTTTATAAATTTCAATAGTATTTAAGTTTTTAAGTATATATTAAAATATCCACAAAAAGTTTGTAGATGAAATAATAAATATAGATTAAAAATATTAAACGTTTATGATAAATCTAATCCATAAAACTCTATACTAGTCTGTTTAACTAATCTCTCTCTCTCTCTCTCTCTTTCATCTTCCTCCGCCAATGTGGAAACATTTCGAGCCTCAAGTAGACATACAGTCGGACACTACGTCTATGCAATATCTATGATATACACCTTCTGTAGATATAAATTAACTGTCAACTATAGGAAACCTTTAGATCTAAGGTTATTTGTAAATGGTAAAAGTTAATGTGTGTACACAATAATGGTGACTTCAGCCGATTTCATGTGGATATTCGAGTTTTCCAAACGGAAGACTTTTCACCTGAAATTATAAAATACTATTTAATCAATAAGGCATATTTTGCTTATATAATATAGTGTTCGCGTAAATTTAAGAAATCGTTATGCATTTTTATAGTCATCATCATCGTTGTCACTGATGTTACTAAATAATAAATAATTTAGTAATAAGGTAAGAAAACGATTTCAATAAAAATGATATTTTTTGAATTCAATACTGTTTTATTAAGTTTCCATTACTAAAACCAAAAATCATACATGGGATCTAAGCTTGTATCATCTTTTATTGTTCCTCATACATATACATCCGATAGTCGGGTAAAAATATCATATTTATAGAGATGCTTATTTGGCACACAGTACCGTGAATGTGACGTCATCGAGCGAGGTGCAGAGATATTGTGACCATGTGGTATGTCTGTAATCTGCCTCACGGTACAGGAGAAATCCTAGTGTGGAGGTAGCGTTTTTTTTTAAATATACTAAAGTGCACAGTCCTACACAATTTAAAAAAAAAATAAAATAAAACTAAACTAACAAAAAAAACTAAAAAAAATAAAACTAACAAACAGGATAAACATCCAGACACGGTACAATTATTTGTAGGCCATACAAATACTTTCAACAGGCTGCTACTCCTTGCTAATCCACTGCGCCACGAAGCTGTCAAACGAGCTGTAGTTTATTGTGCTGACGATACAAATACTGCATGATTTATAATAATGAAATGAAATGCAAAATAACATCAATACTAACCTGCTCTATGAGATTCCCCGGCGACATGATTGCCGTGTCTCGGAACAATATACTTGGACTCTTGGAACATGGACAGCATCAAGTCCTCGGTGGTTGGATGATATTCGACGCCGTTTATACTGGCCATCAGTGGTGAGCTCTCGTAATTTCTATTCCCATCTCCATTAGAAGGCGACGTACTCATTCTAGACGGATAGTCAACGGAACGTGGCCTTCTAGAATCGACCGGCGTCATTTTTGGATTGACATGGACGTCTTTGTGAATGTATGGCTCGGTGTGAACCGTAGATTCGTTCTCATAATCGCTCAGGTCTTCATTTGTTACATTTCCATTCACTTCAACAATCACTGGCCTTCGGAGAGAGGGAGACTGGATGATTGTAGCCGTATTGTGAGTTACAGGATTATCAGGAATAATTATTTCGGTTACATTATCATCAGGTAAACTCAGAACGCTTTCAGATATTGAGGGTCTCCGTTTGACATCCTCAGATTCAGAATCGTTACGTGATTCACTTTTGCAGTCTTCAACTTCCTCCTTCACTTCTGTAAGTTCGTTGAGAGCTTCTCCGGTCGGTTTTACGTACTTCGGCATTAACAGGGCCCAATGTTCTTTATCGTTGGTGGAACTCGAATGAACTACGCGAGGTTTTTTACGTTTATAGAACAGCATGTACACAGTGTTGTTAACAAGCTCGGCGTAAGCATTCTCCTCGTCGACTGGAGTTACTCTCGAATCATCAAACTTGTACCAGCGATTGTCGTAAGGATTCTTGCAAGCTGCCGTGTAGTGCCCAGTTTCAAGGTCGTCACCGTGATGGTAACAAATGGCGTACAAATCATAAATATTGTCTTGCGGATTGGTAGCGGCTACTTTAGAGTGACGCCGTCGAGGTGACCGCGAGTGACCCGGAGATTCATTGTTCGACGAATTCCTTCGGACTAGATGTGGTGTCATATCAAGATCATTCAAAGGGAATTCTACCATAGTCGTCAACTTTGTGCTAGTGCGACCTTTGGCCTGCCTTAAACAGAAAAACATAGTTGTAAGAACGTTGGCTTTAATAATACTTCACTTAAGATTAATTTAGTTGAGCGCATACTAACTGTCGAAATCTCTTCAGATGTATAACTAAGACATCCGGAAGCGACCAAAGCCCAAGTGTTTTTACCACTGGCATGTATCTTTGGCATTGAGGGCATCTGTAAAGCAATAATAATCTATATATTATTGTATAAGTATGTATTTTATTACATATTCTCCAAAATAAGACTAATAAAAAGTGAAATTGTTTAATCTTTTCTTTTCAAAATTTCAATCACGTTTTTATTAGGGATGTAACAATTCCGATACCGATATATCGGCATCGCCGATTATATACAACCGATATCAAGAGTTTGAAAAGCGCGCTAAACGAACAATGTGCGCGCAACATTCTTGCTCAGCGCAGATTCCTCAGAGTGTCTGTTTTCAACTGCAGATCTCTTTCAAAATGATTTGCGTAACAACTTATCTGCTAATGATTTAAACAAACTTTGTTTTCTTCACAAAAATCTACCAAAAGTTAACTGTAATTACAGACTTCATCTTTTATATCGGTTTACTTTACCACTTTGTGTAATGAAAATTACTTTCTTGAAATTAGCGCTTTGGTTGCTTGAGAATATTCTTGATTATTTCATATAAATAAATGTTTTTTTATTTGAACTTTTGTATTGAAATTTTGATTTGTCATTCAGTCACCGATAAAGGTATCGGTATCACCGGTTATTAACTACAATCGGCATCAGTATCGTATCGGCACAATTTATAGAAAAAAAAAACACAAGTAAATAAGGAATAAATGTCTTTCTTATGCATAAAAGTTACCTATATTTATCGGAGACTGAACCTTGACAAGTTTGAAAACCAAAATGTCAATACAAAAGTTCTAAAATTTTAAAGAAAATATTTATTTATATAAAGCAAGAATGTCGCGCGCACATTGTTCGTTTCACGCGCTTTTCAAACTCTTGATATCGGTTGTATATAATCAGCTCTGCCGATATATCGATCTACCGATTATATCGGTATCAGTATTGGAATCGTAACATCCCTAATAAATACTTCACATTTCTCAACAGAAAAAGATATTATACAAAAATGTTTTTAAAACTGTATTCAAAAACCTAGTACCTAAACATGCGTGTTTACACACGTATGTGGTTTTTAAGGATGTATGGCGTAATGTGTGCGTATGACATACGCGCGTGTGCGGGTTGCGTGTTTCGATGTGTATGCACGTGTGCGTGTACGTTCGTTCGTAATTTAATTTGTAGATGTGGTGTATGACGTGTGTGTGTGTGTGTGTGTGTGTGTGTGTGAGTGCGTGCGTGTGTGTGTCGTGTGTGTGTGCGTGTGTGTGTGTGTGTGTGTGTGTGTGTGTCTGTGTGTGCGTGCGTGTATGTGTGTGTGTGTGTGTGTGTGCGTGCGTGCGTGTGTGTGCGCGTGTGCGTCACCTCCATGCGTCCTCCTGCGCGAGGTGCTCGGCGCGCGTGTAGTGCGTGAGGCAGGCGTGCAACGTGAGCGTGCTCCCGCCGCCGCCCGCCCCGCCCCCCGCGCCGCCCGCAGCGCCGCCTGCGGCCGACACGTGCACCTCGCACGCCTCGCCCGCCTCGCGGATGATGCTGCAACACGTGACACACAACTTAATCTTCTCATTTCATTACATTTTTAACATCTTCCTCCCGTGAACGGTGCACCGGTAGTCATGGTTCTTCCCCATGGTAGGGTAGGATCCCTGATTGTGATTTCACATTTCTGGCCGTCTTTGGTCTGGATATTTCACATCGGAGAATCAACGTAGATTTTTAAAGCATTTGCCCAAGACGCTTCTTTCGACATACTTTATTTAATCGAAATAAGAGTTAATTAACACTGTGGTAAGTCAAAATGCCGATGCCTTGTCGCCCCTGAGGGCTTAAGTTCCGTTACTGTTAGAAGTTTACTGTTTGTATTTTCTATGAGCGTGCCCCTTCTCCGGTTAAATCAACAAGTCGTGCTGCAGCCATAATACATACACCATTGGGACTTAAATGTAAAAAAGAACATCTGCATCTTTTCTGAAAGTGACTGGTGTGGTTGATCAGAACCATTTAATTTAAAAATCTTAAAATGTTTTAAGAAAATAGTTTTCAAAATGCAAATCTCCACATATTTTAATATAAAAAGTAATACCTTTTAATCTTTTTTGATAGCTACAAATATGTACATACAACTTGATTTTTTTTAAACATAAATGTGTTCAGGTTCGAGATTCCCTTTCGGAATTCCAATTCGGGATTCCGTAAATACATCACACACATACGTTTATTTCCCTTCGAAATAACAAGGCTGAGTTGAGAGACGATAGCCATTGAATCTAGACATTTTACCATCGAATAATAACGACGATTTTCTGATTGCGATTCTATTATTGTTGTATCATTATTACTTGGTACATCCCTTATCACCTTAAGATTTCAATATAGTCATTATGTAAAAATATCTATCGATCCAAAGATTTTTTTTAAATAAGGATGTCTGTAAACTCTTCCGACGATTTATAAAACAAAATAAGATAAAAGGTTACGAAAGGATATATAAATATAAGATTACATGTAAAAACATACATAATCCACACCTACTCGCTTCGGTCGTGTGTCGCACACTGAGCGCGTTCCGTACGAAATTAACGACTGTGTGTTGCCACTGAAAACAAAATCTATGGATGACTTGCGTTCGGAACGGCTTTTTTCCGTGTGAGATTACGAACGCACAGTCAATCATGCGGAATTCCGAATCGGAGAACATTACGAATGGAAAACTACTGTACGTGTGTGACGGATCCATGATTTTATATGAACGTGCTGCATTTCGAATCCCGAATCGATATTCCGAAACGGTTTTTCAAAACGGAATTTCGTATGTATGTGGTCAGCCTAAGTATTTCAGTGTTTTTTTATTGTACAAACGAGCACGCAGTTCACCTGATGGTAAGTGGTTGCTGTGGCCCATAGACATATACATCTTTCCTCGATTACGGATAAAAATACTGATGTGTTGTCACCCGTGAGGACTAAGATGGAATGCCTCAATTCCAGTAAAAAGGGTCTCCGGTTCTCTACACTCACCATACGAAACACAGCAGCGTTGGGCTGCTATTTCACGCTGGTATTCTGTGAGAGCGTGTTCCTTCCCCGATTGGGCCGACCCATTCGTGCTACAACTATACTACTAATATAACTGCAGAGCCATGAGAGATGATGATAGAACCATGCTACAGTTTGCAATGCTAAGGTGAAATAAGTCCTGTATTTTAGCCTCAAAATCTTATATATATAAGATTTTGATTATTATATATATATATATGTGTGTGTGTGTGTATATATATAGTTATACCTGTCTCTGTGTGCGGGATCCCAGAGCAACTCGAGTCGTAGATGCGGGTGTTTGTCGTGAGCACACAACACTTGCTCTACGTCAAGAGCAAAAAGCGGATGCGGCAGCTGGAAAGAATTTTTTTATGTCAGAACGGTGGGCGGCTTTTATCATTACGAGATAGTATTTAACATTGAAAAATATCTGTCTGTAAGCGTATTTGTCCCGTACTTAATACAAATTACGGGTACACATCCATACCGTTCGGGGATATAATATTACATTAGTTAGCGTAACTAGAAAATTTCTGGCCATTTAAATGTCAATTTGATTCTGGCACATTATATTTCTGTATTCTAAATTCAAATAATAAACGATAGATGGAGGCGGTAGTAAAGAACAGACTTTATTTCAATTAATGTTCTTTTTTTATAGAAGAGGGGGCAAACGAGCATGCGGCTCACCTGATGGTAAGTGACTACCGCCGCCCATGATCAACCGCAACACCAGGGGAATTGCAGGTGCGTTGCTGGCCTTTTAGAAAGGAGTAAGCTCTTTTCTTGAAGGTCCCCTAAGTCGTATCGGTCCGGAAAATAGGTGGTAAACAATTCCACAGAGAAGTTGTATGAGGAAGAAAACTCCTAGTAAAACGTACAGTAGTGGACCGCCAAGCATCCAGATGGTGTGGATGGTATCGGGACGCTTGCCGCGTAGTGCGTTCACGAAATTTGGCGGCTGGGATTAATCCGAACAATTTCTCAGAGCACTCCCCATGGTATATGCGAAAGAAAATGCAAAGAGATGCAACATCTCTTCACAGCGCCAGTGAATCGAGCCGATCGGAAAGCACTCGGTCGTCGACGATTCGAGCCGCTCTGCGCTGGATGCGGTCAAGTGGAAGGAGCTGGCACTGGGGTGCCCCTGCCCAGAGATGGTAACAGTATTCCATGTGAGGCCGAACTTCACTTAATAAAGTTGCAAGTGATGTGCCGGCATGAAATACTGTCCCGCTCTGCTGAGCACGCTAAGCTTTTTAGAGGCCAATTTGGCCTTCCCCTCCAAGTGACCACAAAACTGCACACTACTCGAGATATCGGCGCCGAAGATTCTGATGCTGTCAAACTGAAGAGACACGACAATGGGGTTCTTTTTAGCGGTTAACGCGCACACTTGTGTCTTCTGGGGATTAAATTGGACTAGATTTAGTCGCCCTCAGTCCGAGACTTTGTTAAGCAAACACTCGACTTCAGACACAAGTTTGTCCAGGTACTCGGCGACGTTTTCTCGAGAAATATTGGCACGGCCGGTGTATAAGGCGTCACCAGTGCTGTCGTCTGCATAGCAATCAATGTTATCAGTTTGCAATATATCATTGATATGCAGAAGAAGCAGTGTTGGTGATAGCACGGAGCCTTGTGGAACACCAGCGTTAATAGGCTTGTAATCAGAGCATGCACCGTCTACTACGACCTTGATGCTCCGATTAGCAAGAAAGCTAGTGATCCAGTCGCACAATTTCTCGGGAAGGGAGCTTCGAAAGAAGCGCTTTGTGCCAGACCCGATCGAAGGCCTTCGCTATGTCCAAACTAACGGCCAATACCTCCCCCTTAGACTTGGCAGTAGACTGCCTCCGCCCATCTATGAGTAAGGTACCTAAACCAGAAGATCACCAGCTGATCGACCACGACGGAAGCCGTATTGACGGTCACTGTTCAGCTGGTGATCCTCAAGGTACTTCATGAGCTGGTAGTTTTCAATAGACTCCATTATTTTGGAGAACAAGGAGTTAATGGCGATAGGCCTGTAGTTGGACGGGTCTGAGCGGTCGACTTTTTTAGGGATCGGGTGGCCCAAAGCTGTCTTCCAAGAATTCGGGACTACGCTTTGGGAGTAGGAGTACCGGAAGCCGTGTTAAAACCGTTAAAAATGTTCTTCTCTGTGTCTTATGTTGTGACGAGAATGGGTCCTCTTCCTCTAACGATGCAGCCGAGGTGGAATCGCGGGAGAAGGAGTGTCGGCATTACGATGCGCCGTTCTCCCTACCCTCCGCAGAAAAAACTTGATTGGCGGCAGAGCCATAGACCAAATCCACCGCTAGGGTCAGGAGAGCTGATGCTTCCGAGTGCTCGTTTTTTCCTAACCCTATTGCCGTCGCGTATTTGGTTCGGGGGAGAGGGGGGGCATTTCTCGAGTGGAGATAAAGGCCGCGGAGAAAGAGTCTTGTGTTCACAGTGATGCTTGCCTGAGAAGGAAAAGGTAGTAATTCTCTTCCGAGGTAGCGCAGCTGGCGCTGATGGGATCGTGGATGTGTGCGAAAAGGTTTCGGTGGTCCTGTTAATATGCGTCGTAATAATCTGCTCTTACTCCCCAGGTATGAGTAGGCATTTCCCCATGCAAAAACCAGGCTCAGATTGAGACCCAGGTTTGGTTCCCATCCGGATTCAGAATGAATGCATGTTTGGCTAACAAATGGACCAGACCATTGATATCAAGGACCTTGATACAAAGGGAATACGTCTTGGCGGACGAATTATATGATGTAAGGTACCATAATAAGATGTTAGAACATGTAGTCCTACCACAGTGATTGTAAATGAATTTACATATTATACACTTTTGACTCAGTGGTAACTCAGTGGCTAGACTTTTGTGGTTTAGATTTTTGTCGCGGTGAAAGAATCATGCCCACTTTCCATACATTGATTGACCTGTCACTTGATTCCTTTAACAGGACGCGTCTACCTACAACTACTGTTGTATAAAAACAATTATTGTTTATAATAACATAAATAACTTATCATCTTTTCATTTAGAGGCCAGGGAAAAAAGCTATTAAGTAAATAAAATTCTGAGGTTATAACAGCTGTCAGATAAGGTTTGTGTACACTTAATTTTTTCCACACCATAGTATAAAACCATTAAACATCGTATTTAATCATAAATTAATAAGTTATAAGAAAAGAAATTGGTTATCTTGAACATTCATAAACCACATGACGAATGAACAAGTTTTTCGTAGTCTGAAACGGAACGTGGAAAACACGTTTTTAATATATTTTGGCATGGCTTCTGGGCCTTTGAGCTATTGTAAAACACGTTTCGTCTCCAAAAGTCTATTGAGAATGATAAACAAAGAGACATTACTTTTTTCCTGGCTTTATTTGAAAATTCAATTATGCGATACGAAATAAGAAAAAAATATGCAATTTTATAAGATATTATTATTATGATACTATAAGATTTACATCACTAGACGCATTAGAAAATTTTCACGTCAATAATGGACATGATTCTTTATGTTTGTAAACCGCCTCCATGATACGAGGGGAAAATCGTAATGTGGGGTAACACTTTAAAAAAAAACATATGTTCGCTGTTGCTGTTCGCGCACGGTTGAAGTGAAATCTTCTGAAAACTAAACTTCGAGAGAATGACACTAAATTTTAAAGATTTATATGTTTGTCTCTTTTTAGTGTAGCTTTCTCGTTTTATCAAGTTTCAAACTACAACGATTCTTAAGAAGTTTTCACTTAAAAATGTTTAAGGCAGCGGGTTTTAACGTGTTTAAACGTTAAAACCCGCGGGTTTAAACGTGCAAATGTGGGCGTGTGTTCTGGAACGTGCAGTTAGCGTAGTGCGCACCTCGGGCTGCAGGAAGGAGCGCGGGCGCGCGTCGGCCAGGCGTGCGCGGAAGATGTCGGCACCCTGCGCGCGCTCCAGCACGCGCTCGGCCACCACCTGGCTCATCTCCTTCAGCAGCAGCTTCTGCAGGTCCTCGTACGCCACCTCGCGCGCCACCTGCATCGCGTACGGCGACCCTGCGCGCCACACAACACACATTCCACACCGCCGCCATAAACAATACACTTCTGCTGGATTCTTGCTGCTTGTTCCCAAAACAGAATGTTTCTTTCCGAACCAGTGGTAAAATTAAATAATGACTTTCAATAAGAATTACTCTTTAGTTCCAATATGACTCACGGGACAATGAAAATGTTAAATAAAATATACATAAAGTTAAAATCTACCGGCTTTTACTCATTACGATCAGCGTTAATTGAAATAATGTTTATAGTTGCTTCCTCTCTCACTCTCTCTTCAAGAAAAATACAATATCCTGTCCTTGTCAGGTTTAGAGCCAATTAATACTTAAGTTAAGCAAGCGATATAAACAATTAAAATTTAGGCAGTATATTTATATACTGCTATAACGTTTGATTTATGAGTCTATAACGCAACATCAAATTATAGAATCATAACAATAAATGATTTAAAAATATTTACAATAATAATAATATAGTATTATTTATGATCTATGTCTATATTTATACATGATAAATTTTTAATTTATTCCTGAAAAGAGTGTATTTCGTCACTTTTTTAATTTTGCCAAACTGTAAGCTAGTTTGTCGGCAACAAAACAGTTTAGGGTTTCACACTCCTTAATGACAATATATATAATTATGGTACTTACAAAAAGTAAAATCTCTGTTTATCTTATATACAACAAACATTCACCACTATGGACACAACTATAGACAATGTTTCCCCATGATCGTTTTGAGCTGCGTTCTTAGTTACGCTTTCGTCATATTTATATATCCGCCACCTCGTTACATAAGGCGGAGTTAACTTTCAACCCCAGGTATGAGATATTTCCTCCTTTGTGTAGCTTGGCGCTTCGGCATTACATATGTTTTAGGTTACTTAAATGTTACAACTCCATGCTGTTCTAATATGATGGTGGATTTTACTTTCTTATCTATGGGAATAATTTTACAAATTTTAAATAACATTTTATATTTTTCAACTAGTGTTTTTCAACCTCATATGTGTAGACTTTATTTTGTTGAGATAAGTTAGGAATGTAAGTTAGTAATGTATGCACCTAAGCCATATCCAATTTTAATTAAAATTGGATATGGCTTAGGTGCATTAAAATTAATATTCAAAAACTGAAGGTAGCCGGACTAACTATGACATTGGGACGTCAAACATCTCTCATTTTTTCTATAAATCTGCCCTAAAGACGAAGATTTAAAAAAAAACATCGAAATCGGATGGTTTTTCGATTTCCTAGAGCCAAAAAACGAGGGGACCGCGATAGTACAAAATTACCTGTTGGTATTCTGTGACAGCGTGGTCCTGCCCCGGTCGAGCCGACCCATTCGTGCTACAAATGTAATATAGCTGCAGCGTGGCTGTACCGCGTATAAATCCTGCCTGCTTCCGCATAATACAGCATATACACGATTCCTCGGTTCACAACATATTTAATATGATTCAGTACTAATTAAACATGCAAATCCCATGTCAAACGATTATCCTATAAACAAAACTTAAATATTTATAGTTCATTAAAAATTGTAGCTTTTCACAGCGGCAAAGAGAGCTCAACTGATCAATATGCAGGCAATCGTAAGTGTGACCCATAAGAGCTATATACTGACTATATGTCTCCCTTGAAGACTATCTCATTACGAGATGGTATCGCGCGTATTATGGATTCTATTTAATTGATAATAGTGTTTTTATTTGTACTTGGCGGTCTACATGTTACTAATATGTATATTTCGCGGTCTTCAATTTTCAACTGCTCATTTATAATTTCGCTATACAATGTTTGGGTATTGTTTTGTAAGATCTCAAAGTGCACGCTAGTTTTTACATATATAATAATTTTATCTCGTTTTCTTCTCTAGTATAAGAGTAACAGTTATAACCTTTCATCTCAAATTGATATAGCTCATCCTTTTTTATGTTTATCTCCGTGAGACAGATTACATCTAGGTTCGTCAAGCAATAACTTATAAGAACAGTAAGTTCGTTAAAGTTTTCAAAATCAACTCACCGAAACGTTCACCGTTGAGGAGGTTGATCCACAGTATAAGCAGGTACGGCGTCGTTGGAGTCTGCAGTAATGGAGGTGCCTCCAGACAATACAGCGCACCAAAGTCCATTCCGGCCACCTCCCATCCAGCGCGAGCGGTGCACCACCCTACAAAAGCAATAACTATGTATTATATTTTATACCTACCAGAATAATTACTATAAGTAATTAAATTAATTTGTACTTTTAACTTTAATATAAAACTTTAACTGACAAACCACCAAAAACGTGTACCTAATAACTAGCATTTAAGAATTTATAGAGTTAAGATGGTCTAAAAATGCAGTTACTTTATCTAAAGGTAGAATTGTGAAAGTGTCGTCTACGTACCGCTTGTAGAATCTTGTTCTACAATTCTACCTTTCTAAAATTCTAAAATTCAGTTCACAATGGAGTTAGAGGCAAACAATTCCTTAGCTTTTCTAGATGTGTTAGTAATTCGGAATCCTGATAACACCTTGAGCCATACTGTGTATAGAAAAAAAACCCATACAGATAGATATTTAAACGGTGATTCTCACCACCATCCTTCACAGTTAGCTACCGTGGGTAAATCTTTGTTTCAGAGAGCATGAGGGATCAGTGACAGTAAACACCTGGCTGCCGAGCTCCACCACGTCAAGCAAATTTTGCATGACACAAGCTTCGGGGCCCGCGCCTACGTCACAGTGAACGAGTGAAGCCGGCCACAGTCGAGCGTGTACCTGCTGTACTGACACATGTTAGAGTTGTCACTGATAAGATTGGCTACATCTTGAAGCGCGCTTCCATCAAAACATACTTCAAGCCGCCGAAGAAGATTGGTCAGTTTTTACCATCAGTCAAGTGTAACGTCCCTCTGCAAGATGCAGGAGTGTACAAGCTTGATTGTGAATGTGGTCTCTCCTACATAGGACAAACTAAAAGATCAATAAAAACCCGCGTTAAAAAACATATAGCTGATGTGAAGAATCGACGCTCCGGGAAGTCTGCAGTCTGTGAACACGTACAGGATTGCCCCCGTCACTACATAAGATTTGATAGACCAAAAACCCTCGCTAAAGAACACCGATTCGCGAGGCTATTGAAATCAAAAAACATCCTAATTTCAATAGAGAAGATGGCTGGGTGCTACTATCTGCTTGGGATCCTATAATAAATAAAATTAAATCCCAACCCAAGCATACAACTGCAAGACTTCAAGCTACCATAAGTTCAAACCGTGTAGATTGGAACAAAAGTTAAATTTTAATCTATGGTAACCGCGGTTAACTATGACATCTGGACGTTGAACATCTCAGTCCCCCCTAACCATGGGTGCTGTAAAGCGCTCAAAACGTCGGGTATTTAAAAAGTTAAATATACGCGATAAAATCCGTAAAAACTAGTATTATTTAAATGTGTAGTGTTCGCGTAAATATAAGAAATCATTACGATTCCAAGTATTCGTGCGAGGAAGAAAACTCCAAATTATATGGATGGTAACATAAGTTTTCTCACGATGTGTGTGTTGGTAGAATTTGGTGGCTGGAATTAAAACGAATAATTTCTCAGAGCACTGCCCGTGTTAAATACGATAGAAAACGCAAAGGCATGCAACATTTCTACGCAGCGCCAGTGAATCTCAAAAGAGAACTCGGTTTTTGACACTGACCTCTATATCTACAAGTACGCTGGACTGGCTATACCATACAAAATGACTGTGCCAATTTGAAGCGCCGCTAAAGGATGTCTTGAAAAATAAAATTAACATAATATGCCAAAGTATGTTGTCTTATTCATATTGTCATATTTAATAAATCTGTATTTTGAACTTTTAAACTAAAAAACGAAAGTATTTTATGTTGTTTCATTGTGTATAATATTAGTTACACAATAAGAATTATTTTTATTAATAATGAGAGGGTGCATAATATGTAAAACTCGTTACCAAAAGGGAAGTGGTATAACATTTCACAAGTAAGTGAATTTGCAGTAAATATTAAACAAATTAAAACTATTTGATAATATAAGTACTTAGAAATTTGTTACTAATCTTAATATCATATATACCAATTACCAACATGTTTGGGTGTATATTACTGAGTTTTGATAAACAATAAAATTCAATAGGGTTGTCGAGTTCCTTGTCTATAATACTTATCGATGTTCTTTCCTACCCATATCTGTTAACAAACAAAGTGGCCAACAACAGACGATTATCAAATGTTTATTAACAGGTTTCCAACTGAACCTAGACTAAAATTATGACTTAAAATCATAAATATTGTGAATAAGCGTCCGAAACAAAATGATCATATTTGTTCCAAACATTTCACAGACGACTGTTTTATTAGACATGAGAACTGCACCACTTTGAAAAAGTGCAGTATACCGACAATATTTTCTGGTAGTACCAGTACCAAGCACTACCAACTACCAAGTACTAAGTATTAGATTATTGTTTCGAATGTTTTTTTATTTCTTCTTTCCTCATTTTCCACCAAACTCAAGGGCCATAGCCAAGTGTCGAAAAGTCGCCTGATGATGTCTGTTTTTATTAGTAGGCTGCGGCTAGAGGAGATTTCTCTCCCTGTAGCGCTGTAGTCGAGGTGGAGTCGTAATGGAAGAGGAGTGTTGGTATGGCGATTGGCGATGCGCCACTCGACTGTCTTTCGCGACTTTGGTGTGGCTGCACCACTTGATGCTTCAAAGTGCTCGTTTTTCCCTGGCTCCATTCAAATATCGGGCTCGGTAATTGATAATTTCAATTATTTTTTATATTGTAATTTTAATTTCGAAAATGACGTTGTAAATAACTGATAACTATGTAATTCAAAGTTTATATTTTTTTATATTATCTTGCTAGCTTGCGCATTGCTGCCGCAGAAGAAGTAATTGTGGAAATATCGTAAAAAAATGTGGAACAGTTATATTGTATAATTAGTAATGATAATATAATCATTGAAATAGAATGATATATAACTTTCTATAACTTTCAAATAAATAGTCAGTATAATACGCACGCCACCTAATGTCAGTTAATTGTACCATGCGCATAACCTTTGCACAAGTGCAACCAATAAGTTGACTAAGTTTTACCGCAATCTGATGAACGGTATGGCATCATAGAAAGTACGAACAAACATAAATTTTTATATAGTAGAAAATATTTTACTGTCTATAGACAGACCTGCAGTTGATTAGAATAGGAATGAACTGAACAGAAATGAACAGTTGAAAATAAATTATTCTAGAAATTATGTTATTTTTATTTTGTGTACTTATTTTAATCTTAATATTTTTTTAGTTGAATGGTTAAGGGCTATAATGGCTATTCGAGTACCAGAGTACAAAAATAATCCAACTGTAGAGATGTGTAAGGCAGTGTGACGTAATATCCCCGAAACACTTTACCGCTGCATTGGAAAACGTTTTCAACCTAATGGACTGGAAAGGATACGGTATTAACGTCAATGTCGTGTACGTCACTCACCTTCGATTTGCCGACAATATAGTCCTTATGGCACAATCGCTGGAGGACCTACGCACTATGTTCAATGACCTCAATAGTGTCTCCCAACGGATAGGTCTTAAGATGAACATGGACAAAACAAAAGTCATGTGTAATGTCCATGACACACCTATGCCGGTGGTTTTTGGGAGCACTTAGCTGAAATTGTTGATGAGTATTTTTATTGGGACAAATAGTCCGACTAGGTAAGTTCAACTTCGACCGACAGGTCAATCGACGGATTCAACTCGGCTGGGCAGCGTTCGGGAGATTACAACACATCTTCTCGTCAGGAATACCTCAAAACTAGATTTTACAACCAATGCGTGTTGCCAGTAATGATATATGGATATGGATCTGAGACGAGGTGTTTCACTGCTGGCCATATGAGGAAGCTCGAAGTCGCTCAACGAGCTATGAAGAAGCCTATACTCAGGGGTTCAAACTTAGGAATGAGGATATCTGCAGCAGAACCAGAGTGACCGACATCGCCCAATGGATTAGTAATCTAAAGTGGCAATTGACCGGCCATATAGCTCGAAGAACCGAATACCGATGGGGAGAAAAGGTTCTCGAGTGGCAGCCTCATACTGGCAAGTGAAGAGTAGGACGTTCTCCCACTAGATGGAGACAAAACCTGGTAAGACATGCAGGAAGTTGATGGATGCAGGTGGCTCAGGACCGTGCTTTGTGGCATTCCTTGGGGGAGGCCTATGTTCAGCAGTGGATTTGTAAAAGGTTTAATGATGATGAATGATAATGGCATTATATTAATACGATACATAAAGGGAATGGACGTTACGGGTAGAGTCCATCTATCCATAGAGTCCATTCTATTTATTTAGGTATAGGTAGGGTATAGAATTTTTATCATTATAATTTGGTACACTGTCTTATCCCTAGTATTAGTTCTGTGGACATGCACTTCCGCTGTCAGCGCCAAAATGGCGGAAATCAAATCGCTTCATCATGTCGCGATGTATAGCCAGTCCAGCGTACTTGTATATATAGAGATCAGTGGTTTTTGACGATTCGATTCACCCTGCGGTCAAGTGGAAGGAATTCGCACTGGGGAGCCCAGGCCCAAAGATGAGAACTATATTATATGTGAGGCTGTGTGAGGCTGCGCCTTGTAAAGTTGGAAAAAGTGTGCCGGCATGAAGTACTGTCCCTTTCTACTGAGTGCGCTGAGCTTTTTAGAAACCAATTTAGCTTTATATTCCAAGTGATCACAACACTGCAAGTCATTCGATATGCTAATGCCGAAGATTCTGATACAGGCTGCGGCAACAAGGGAAGTGCCCTGAAATTGAAAAGATACGAAAAAGGAGTTCTTTTTAGCGATAAACAAGCTTAATGATTTATCATGTAATGACTTTTAAGTTCAGTGCTTTCCTAGAATATGTTAAATTTAAAGTAAAGGGACAAATTTAAAAACATGGAGGCGCTCTTTTACTGGATTTGACGTTTCTCGATGTTTCTTACAGTGTCTAACGGACCAAGTGACGTCATCCAAGATTCCACCAATGTGACTGCTGTTTGAATTGAATCTTAGTTATTGGAAATTAAATAATTTATTTCATGACACTAAAATAACGTAAAAAGTTTATATGATTTTTTTGATGTGATGGGAGTCATAATAAATAGATTTATACAATAAAACAATCATGCATATTCCCTATTATTATAACGGAAATCATTTCAAACTTAGTAACTTTCAACAACATTATCGATACTTTGATGTCGAAACGGTAACATTCTAAACAGCTGTTACCGTTTCGTCATCAAAGTTACATAGCCTTCTAAAATAGTGAACATCCTATATTTTCCTCCAATATTTTTACCTAACTACGGCGAATCCAAAATTCGATATAGTTATGTAAAAATATTCGCTTTAATCATCTGCGTCAAATTAGAAGACACGAATATACTGCAATCGGTATCGATAATTGAAGTTGAAGCACGCAATGCATGGTGCAGCACTATTTGTCACCCACATATGCACATACGCACGCACGCTGGTGTATTTTAATTCTGGTCTCGCCCTAATGACTTGATCGCCAATCTATACTTTACTACATCTATGGCTGTCACAGAGTGATAGTGTTATAATGTATAGTTTCATAGTGATAGACGATTGTTTTTGTGTACTCAGATTTCAACCCGTAAAAAATGACAGACAGTTCAGTATCGAAAAAAACGCTATGGCTACTCCCCTCCGGTCCGCTGATGGCCCCTGTAGCTCTATGTTAGGTACTTACCTGTTTCACTAATCTCAGTAAGTATAATATGGTCTCGGTCAATGCCGGTATCGTTATGAAGTGTTGTTCGCAAGTCATCCATCGTTGCGGTCGGCGCCAGCTCTACGCCGATTCGAACCTGACGGGGCTGCTGGTTTACATATACGACCTGGTAGAACAACGATTTGAAGGATTTAATCTGTTGAATGGTGAAATATAATATGAACAGTATATTAGTACTTATTGCAATGTTTTGGTACTTTATTAAAGTATTACTATATTAAATGTAATAGTAACTATATTCTCAATAAGACTGATTTTTTAAACTTAAATAAACAACATATCAAGCCCAAAAAATAAAAATATTTGCTTGCTTGTTAATTCTACTAAAACTTTCTTTTATAGAATGGGCTGACAAACGAGCACACAGTCCACCAGATGGTAAGTGGATGTTGTGACCCATAAATATCTACATTTATTTTCGATTAAGAATCAAACTGTAGATGCGTTGTCACGCTTGAGGACAAGGATGGAATGCCTCATTTTCAGTAAAAACGGTATCTGGTTCTCTACACTCACCATACAAAACACTGCAGCATTACGCTGGTATTGAAAAGGGCTAGGTGCTGGTAAAGGCCATGCTGACGGGGCAAGTGAAAGTCAACTCGGGCAGTGGGGATGGGCCTTTTCAGCCCTATCTGCCAGCTGGATCGAGCTCCCGATGTCGCGCTGTGAGCTAACTCTGCGTCCCTATATTCCCCCGGTAATCCTAACGCCTGAAATTCTTTTAATAAAGTAGGGCGTTCCCAAAGGTGCGGGCTCCATGGAAGGTGGGAAGCCGGATGGAAGAATTATTACACATGTCATAACTATGGACAACACAAGGCCCATTAGTAGAGAAGGAGAAGTGTCAGAGGTGTTTACCTTAGACACTGATAAACCAGAAGGAACCGCCGTTAAACCGGCCGTTCCACTGACTGTACCACCCAGCGTAGGTGGCCCCACCAAGGGGGCAATTTCCGCGCTGGATGTCTCTAAATCCAGTTCCAAATCCAAGGAACTGGACGAGAAAAATGAGCAAGGGGCCGCGAGTAGCAAAATTCCTGCGGAGCCCCAAAGGACCGAATACCTTTTCTCCGCTGCCTGGCAAGTGGTGAGCCGTAAGGGGAAGCGCAAGGCACCAAAAATGGTGACTTGCCGACCCGACGCACCATCAGGTGGGTCTATCCCAGCAGGCAGTAGCGCAAAGGTCAAAAAGAAGAATAAGAAGCAGCGAGAAAAAGGCCGCAGAGAAAGAGCCGCGCTCGCTGCTTCCAAGAGCAAGACTCAGGGAGCTGGGCAAGCTACTGCTACTGCGGTGCTTGGGGCTGGAACCAGTAGTCGTGCTGAAACTGGGAAGGATGAAAATCCAGCCCGAGCAGTAGGCACGGCCGCCGGAACCAGCTCTAAGAAATCCGCCAGGAACCAGAGAGCAGCCAAGCGTCCTGGAAAGAAGGAAAGAGCAGCCAAAAGATTGCTGGAGGAGTCCACCTCGCCGAGAGGAGAGCACAAAAAAGTGCGACTTGAACAGCAAACAAAGGCTGCAAGAACAAGCTACGCTTCTGCTGCTAAAGCAAATTTGGGTGTGGCCTTAAAGTGTGCGCGTTCAGGTCACATAACAAAGGAGGTAGCTGATGACATCCTCGTGGCCATACAGAGGAAGATGATCAGCGAGGCCTGGAGTAACCAGGACCCTGATGCGTCGGGCCCGGTTTTTAGAGGCAAACCCGTTTACACGGAGGGTGTCCTAAAGCTGTGGTGCGATGACCAGAAGGCTCTGGACTGGTTGAAGGGGAATATTAATACCCTCGACCTCAAATCCAACACCTCGCTGACTATTAAGAAACAGTCAGAGATACCACAAAGAATCAAATGTGGTATCCTTATCCCTGATGCCCAAGGTGCCTGGAAGGACTCACGCGACATTGGTCGTGTGCTTGCGTACCAGAACCGCTGGGTAAACATCAAGGACTGGCTACTACTCAAAGCGGACAAACAGACGGACGGGTGGTTCCTCGTTGTTTCGGTGCCGGAGGATCATATCCCGACCCTGATGAAAGCCGGGCGCCGTCTCGCATGTGTATGTGGGGCGGTATACGTTAAATTCCAGGGTCGTGGAGGAAAATTCGTTGATTCCCCACCTAGCAAAGAGGCAGAAAAGAACCCGGAAGTCATGGATACCGTGGCCATGGTTGCCGGTACATCGAAATCACTGGATGTCAAGTCCAGTGAAAAAACTGCCTGCACAACCGAGCCGAAGCCCCCAGTGGAAACTGAGCTCAGCGGCAGCTCACTGAGCGACGAAGAGGACTGCATTTTGCCGTCCAATTCCGACTCGGTGGCTGACGATGAGACCCGAGATCTGCTGGCAGGCTTATTTTTAGGCGGGGACGGGGATGACGCGATCGATGATGGCGTGCCCTTCGTCCAAAACTAGCCTAGTGCAGGCCAACCTCCACCACAGTGAGACAGCGTCGGCTCAATTACGCAAGTGGTTGGAGGCACAAAGGACGGCCATAACCCTAATCCAAGAGCCATGGGTTGGGGCCGGTAAAATTAAAGGCCTAAACAACCTAAGAGGTAAGTTATTCTACGACTCTGATCACGACAAGCCTAGAGCGTGTATTTATACTACTAAAGATATCTGTGCAAAACCACTAACAGATTTCTGTTCCAGAGACATGTATGCCGTAGCATTACAAAACACACAGGAGGAAAGGTTAGTCGTCGCCTCGGTCTACATGCCTGAGGAAGACACCCCTCCCCCTCACGACCACGTCAGGCTGGTGAATTTCTGTGAGAGGGCCGGACTAGAGGTTGTGATCGGGACGGACTCCAACGCGCATCATCCCCTTTGGGGATTGGAAAAACCTAATGAACGAGGTAAGGTTTTAGTTGAATATTTATTTAGCACTAACCTAACCATATTAAACACTGGTTCTGAACCAAACTTCATAAATAAACGCTGTCGCACAATAATCGACCTCACACTTGCAACAGAAGGAGCAGCTAAGCTAATAACGGGATGGCATGTGTCGAAAGAGGCCTCATGCTCAGACCACAGATGGATCTGCTGCGTACTACAGGTCGATATCCCCGCTATACCACCATGGAGAAATCCCCGCAAGACGGATAAAACAAAATACCTCAATAGGCTGACGTCTTCGCTCGCGGGTGTTGGGGGAACTAATACCATAGCAGATCAATCGCTCCTAGAAGAACAGGTAGCAGCTGTCACTAAAGCCATGATCGATAGCTACCATGAATCATGTCCAGTAATCACTCCACCAAAACATGCTGAGCAAAAGCAACAGTGGTGGGGTAAAGAACTAGACAGGAAACGTAAGAAGGTAAGAAAAGCCCTAAATAGGGCAATGAATACCTCAAAGGATGAAGACTGGCTTCTATATAAGAAAGCTAAGTCTGAATACAAAAAATGTATCAGGTATCGACGCTCAACAGGGTGGCGCAAATTCTGTGGTAGCATAGAAACCTGTGAACAAGCAAATCGGATAAGGAAAATCCTAGCTAAACAGAATACGCCGGGATCTATCTCTTTAAAGAAACCCGACGGAAGCTACTCAACATCGCCGGATGAAACCCAACGCATCCTAATTGATACTCACTTCCCAGGTTGCTGTGTAGTTGAAAGGGTGAACCGGCATGAAGATGCACTGAACACCAACAAAAGAAGACTGGGAATTAGCACAAGAGTGGTGACGATGGACAAAATCCATTGGGCCATTCATAGTTTCCAAACCTATAAGGCAGCAGGACCTGACGGCTTATTCCCGGCACTTCTTCAGTGGGGGGGGGGGGGGGGGTAAAGTCCTAATGTCAGACTTGTTGCCATAATGAGAGCATGTCTGGCTCTTAAATATGTTCCTAGGGGATGGAGGGAAGTGAAAGTCACGTTCATACCCAAACCAGGTAAGAACGACTATACAGACCCTAAATCCTACAGACCTATTAGCCTCACATCCTTTCTCCTAAAGACGATGGAGAGGATGTGTGAACGGGAGTTGAGAGGGTCGGCGCTAATTAACTTCCCGCTACACGAAAAACAACACGCCTATAGCTTAGGTAAATCAACAGAATCGGCACTTCACCAGGTAATAACAAAGATTGAAGAGGCCATCCAAAACAAAGCAATATGTCTAGGCTCCTTCATAGACATAGAAGGTGCTTTTGACAGAACAAATTTCTCCAGCATAAAAGGTGCCCTAAGTAGACATAATGTTGAACCGGCACTGATTGACTGGATAGTAAACATGCTCAGTACACGAACAATAAAGATTGCTGGTGAATCTCAGACAATTCAGATCATGAAAGGATGCCCGCAGGGTGGGGTTCTTTCACCTCTCCTGTGGAATATGGTCATTAATGAACTCATCAGCAAATTAAACGCTAACCATTTCTACACAGTCGGTTATGCAGATGATCTGACAATACTGGTCTCTGGTAAGACAGCAAGCATTGTGTGCGACCTGACCCAAGCGGCTCTCCGTATTGTGGAGAGATGGTACAGGGAATATGACCTAACCGTTAATACAAATAAAACGGTTATAGTAATGTTCACACAAAAACGAATGCTGAATAACTATCATCTTCCAAGTTTTTTCAGCACAAAACTCCAACTTTCTTCCGAGGTAAAATACCTAGGTCTTCACCTTGGACAGTAAACTTAACTGGGACAAACACATAGAAAACAAAATCAGCAAAGCTAGTTTAACTTTCTGGCAATGCAGAAACATGATTGGCAAACGATGGGGTTTAACGCCAAAAATTATACTGTGGCTGTACAAAACTGTAATTCGGCCCATGTTCACATACGGCTCTCTGGTATGGTGGACCAAAACCAATGAAGCCACCACTATACAAAAGCTTCAGCGTTACCAGAGATTAGCTTGTATGGCTGCCACGGGCTGCATAAGGACAACACCAACAGCAGCTTTGGAGGCTATGCTGGAGCTAACACCGCTTCATCTACATATACAACAAGAAGCAACTTTAGCTGCCATTAGACTCAAGACCCTAAATCTTTTAACTAAGAGTAGAGTCCCCCATACAGATATAATCGATAGAATTTATTAAAAAATTCCTATCTTACAAGCCAAGTATGATAGGATCCCAAAACAATTTGTATTCGATAAGAAGTACAAGATACAATTGAAGGAAACTGACCATCTGGAAGGATTGGGTCCAAGAGAGCTCAAAGTTTTCACGGATGGCTCTAAGACAAATGAAGGTGTGGGGTCTGGGGCTTTCTCTGAAGACCTTAATATCCACATATGCACATCGCTGGGTACCCACAACACAGCCTTCCAGGCTGAATGCATGGGTATCATCCAAGCGGCCATAGCAATAGATGCTAGGAAGGTGAAAGACTTCTCCATCAGAATACTGACCGACAGTATGGCGGTACAATAAGCTCTGAGTTGCAATGTGACGAACTCGGGACTGATATACGAGTGCCATCAACGATTGAATGAGGTATGTAAGCTCAACAATGTGACTCTGCAATGGATCAAGGGACACAGTGGATCTAGAGGCAACGATGCAGCAGATGAACTGGCCAGAAGGGGAAAGGCCCTAGCAACTATAGAGCCGGAACCAATAATACCAATCCCCTTTGGTTACGTTTATTCACTGGTACGTAGATACTTCAATAATTTACACGCTCAGCTTTGGAAAAATTTTGTAGACTGTAGACAAGCTAAGGAGGCCCTACCTGAAATAAACAGTCGTCTAACCAAGGTTCTAATGAGACTGAACAAGCCACAGATCAGGATAGTAACAAGTGCTTTCACAGGACAATAACAATGGCTCTTTTAACAAACATTTGTTCACCATAGGTGTTACTGATAGCCCCCTGTGCAGGGCATGCATGGGAAAGGAAGAAACGGCGGCTCACGTGTTGCTGACATGTCCAGAAGTCGCTTCATACAGGGCTAAACATCTCGACACGCCGGGATCGCTCCCCAAAGTTGCTTGCAACATCAAGGGACTGCTGAGATTCTTCGGGCAGATATCATGGCTCGAATAAGCATATTATTCCTGCCCACACGCAAAATACGCGCTTAGATGTGGAGTTACGGAAAACAGCCCGTTGTAAACTAAACTAAACTAAACTACGCCGGTATTCTGTGAGAGCGTGGTCCTGGCCCGGTTGAGCTGACCCAATCGTGCTATAGCTATAATACAGCTGCAGGGCGCTGTACCATGTAGGAAAGCTTATTGACACAACACAATTTAAGCTTGTAATACCAGTTACTAGACTCCACAGAATTGGTAATTCATTTATGGGCCAATGTATACGCTTCTACAACAAAATCCCAGAAAATGTACAAAATTAGTCATTAAACAAGTTTAAATGTTTTATTACAGAAAAATTGTACAAAAAGGGGTATTATAATATAAAAGAGTACATAAATTAAAATAATCCCTAAATAATTGAGGTGATCGCCACCATGCTGGTTTTATAAAAATTCATTAAAAAATAGCACACAATAAATGTATTGTAAATTGAAATATGTTCAAAAAAAAGTCCCACTGGGTTTCTTACTGGTTCTTACAGGACAGAGGGATTTTATATTCCGAACCAGTGGTAAATAAAAAAACGACTTAAACTTAAACTCAATAAGTATTATACAATAATCTACATTGAATAAAATCATTCATTTAATTTCAAAATGTGGTTTGGGAAACTGGGGATTTTTATCATTTTGAGTAATTATCAGGAAGATGCTGCTATTCATTCAGCCCATATTTTATTTCCCTTTCGTCGCCACTTACGAAACCCAAGGGACGATACGGGGCAGTGGGTTCTCTTACGTCGCTATTTTACGTCACTTTTTATTCATATATTTGTTGCTGTTGATTTTCATACTTTGGTGTTACTATGTAGTTACGTCCCTCACGTTACACTATTGTGTAATTGTGATGGTGACATATTACGGTATGGCCGCAATGTAATTGCTCAATACTGAATGTATAACAGTGTGTATAACAGTGCAGTACGCTGTTATACTGTTGATAATGATTAATTGCGTAAGCAGGAGAGCAAGTTGAAAATCCACTCTCACACTATTATTATTTTGAACAATTAACCTTGTGATATATTTCCAATATATCCGAAATATTTTTAATTTACGACCCTTATATACTTTATTTATTATGTTGTGTACTTCATTGTAATAACTTACGTTAACTGGTAATGGAGATGGTTGTACTGTATTGAGTCTCGTAGGAAGCTGCACACTGACGCAGTGGAATGGATCAAATGTACACGACGTGCGCTCACATTTGGCACATGTCAACGCTGACCTATAAAAACAAACCAGCAACAAATGAAAAAATGAATAATTAGCACTGTTACACTTATTTGTTTTATAACCAGTAAAAAGTTACTTTTAAAGTTCGAGACTACAATATCCCACAGCAACACCCAAGCCTGGTCTTCTTTCTGAAATGATGGAGTCCGCCGCGTTATCTAGTGCGTGTTCGCGGACTTTACATATTTCATTAGTACCGTCAAGCATTCAAACTCCGATTGCTCGCGTACAATGAAATTTACCGCGATCGCTTAGCCACTGAGCTTGCAAGCCAAATTTCAGCTAGTAACCAGTAATAAATTCAAAATATACACTATAAAAGTTTAATTAAAATATAAGTTCTACGCCTAAAAATGTTTCACTGTTATCCACAGGCCATTCCATAAAGGAAGTGCATGATGAGTACAATAAGAGTTGAAATGTGCAGTATTCAGGGTAGCTAGTCTGAATTCGCTAGGGCCAATATTTGCAGAAAAACAATAATATTTTCAGATTTTGGTTTATATGTTTGCATCATCTTCGGATTCTTCTTGCAGATTTGGCTAGACATGGGCGTTATCAGTTTTTTATGGAAGTGTGCGTCCACAGTGAATGCGCGGTGTCTGGGGCCTGTTGCGGGCGCGACGGTGAGGACATGCAGTGGCCACAGTGACGAGCGAGCTGTTGGAGTACATAGACCGTATTTCACACCGTGTTGCAAGCCATGGACGATGATTTAGTATTTTTTTACTAGAAAGTCCGATCCTGAGATGGGAGATGTTGAACATAAGAGGTGTGCGGGAAATAAATAAAAACAGAGAAATAATTGGCGAATTATTTCTCTGTTTTTTTTACTTTGTATGAAGAATTGAGATTGTACCCTAGAAATTATTTTGAGTATACTCGAATGTCCGTGTCAAAATTTGATTATATCCTAGTAAAATATCACCAAAAATCATCATTCATCAAAAAAAATTAAGACGCGCTTGGGCCGAGCGAAAAGACCGAACCCGAGATATCCCCGCCACCAACGCATTGGGTCGCTTGCTTACAAGCCCATAGTGGGGTCAAAACGCGCAGATAAGGTTTGAAAACTACTCGCGCTATCTCGCTCATGCCCGTCGCGCTAGGCGCCCGCCTTAGTCACTATACTATGGACGGCGGCTTCATATCTTTGATACTTCGAACCCGTCGTCGTAACCGCGGTAGGCTAGCACAATGGACGCATGCTAAAATCTAGCATATTTCCATAGTCAATTTAGGTGAAATAAATTACCTGTACTGAGCTTGAAAAACTGTCTGTACAAATGAACTGTTCCTTCTTGCATGGTTTGCTAATGTTTCCGCAGCTACCACCTCATCTGACTTGCCACCTGTGTTCTAAAAAGTTATCATTCTCAGTTCAAAACACAAACAACATACAAATAATAAATAGACAATCGATGTTAATTAGCATCTTATATGGCTTTCAAGAGCAGTGATTTTATAATCTTTTGCAATACACAATTTTTTTATTTTACACATGTTTCACAGTTCTTCGGTTAGTAGTGGTCAACATGGCTCTGAGAATCTTGCATTTTAGATCATGTTGTGGCCTGTGCGAGACATATAGTGTAACTTTGCTCTCAGAGAGGACATCAGGATTAGATATGTGTGTGTTTCTTTTAAAGATGTTTCCTTTAAGAATAAAAAGTTCTCCCATCTCATAAGATGCAATTGATAATTTAACAGTGCTCTATAAGCACTAGATCTTAAAGAGCTCTTGGATGAGGGACCTCTTTCAAGAGCTCTATTGTCTCATTTTTAAGTTGCCTGACGGCCAACTTAATCTCATCGAGACAGATATCTGATAGCTTATTGCTAAACAAAATAACCACAAAAAACTATTATTTGCGAATTTTTTTATATCCTTTATGGTTTATGAGATAATCATTAAAAACATTTTATTTTATCAGTTTTTCGATTTCACACAAACCGTGCGTGTCTTTCTTAGCCCAGATTACTCCTGGCATACGCTCTATCTGTTTGTGAAGTTTCATCAAGATTAGTTAAGCCATTCCAAAAAGCCCTGACAGAGACCTTAAATTTTACTTATATGTCTAGATATCCATGTTAGGTATATATGACTGCCTCATTGGTCTAGTGGTTGTACACCCGACTGCTGATCAAGAGGTTCTGGGTTCGAATTTTGAGTCGGTTTAAAATCTGAAAAGTTATAAAAGTTGGCAGTTGGCACATAAAGCCATTAGTCCTGCGCCTAATCTCTCCTGTCGAATATCGAATTGCCATCCCATCAGATTATGAGAATGGAGAAAGGGAGAGGGCACCTGTGCTTGCGCATACACTTGGGCACTAAAATTCTGTCATGTGCAGGTGGCTAGTCTCTGTTGAGACTGATCGCTATGTTTGTAATTCGGTCTGGAGGACATTATTTAGGTACATACCATCCCATGTTTTAAAGTATTGAAGGGACTTAATTATTTATCCACATTAAAACATAGTAACAATAATAACACATATTTTCCATGATATGCATGGAATGCATGTTAATCTACCCATAATATGACAGATAAATTCTATAAGGACCGAGGAGCTCGTTGATTATATTATCTATTCGAATTATATTGTCAATTATATAAGAGTAATGAGTAATGAGATTCATTAATCTGAACTGATATTTAAAATCGAGTAAACACTTTCGATGCCTCCAACCTGCATTGGTAGTGCCCATAGTGCCTCTCTCTACTATTATATCACTTCACAACAAAACTATCACTATTAAAGGACATGGTGATACAAACATTCTTTATGTGAAGCTTGTTTAAGCTTTAATTTTTATCTTTAAATATATGCACATAGTTTTCGAGATAATTAGAAACAGACTGGACTTCAAAGTAGTTCTTTGATAATTGTACTACATTGTTCAAGATCTTTATAACTAATTTTTATTTACATGGTAGAAGCTCAGGTAAAATCTGGTCAATTATAAAATATTATTTCCAAACCTTGATTGTTTTATACTTTTTCTTTGTGGCAGTATTTAAATCTTCATGCACTTTATCAAGAAGCCAAAACAGAAACTCTTGTGCATCATGTTGGCTGCTTCCTCGGTATTGTGTGCCATGCCTTTCAACTGCACTCTAATAAAAAAAGGTTATCAATTATAATTACAAACAAAAAAATGGTACTAAATATTATATAGTAAATTAATATTTAAGCAACAATGCCCCATTGGGTTTCTTGATGGTTCTTCTCAGATCAGATGTCAGAGAGAAAAATTATTCTATTCTATTCTAAAAAATTTAATACCAACTTTGATTCACATTGACATCAAAATATAATAACTATTTTCTTTTGGAATAATCACCTTTTGTTAAACTGATGAGTACCTTAACCAATAAGAAACTTTTTTTCTTTATAGGATAGGGTAACAAACAAGCACACAGTCCACCTGATGGTAAGTGGTTGCTGCGGCCCATAGACATCTACATCTAACCTCGATTACGAATCAAAATGCAGATGCGTTGTCACCCGTGAGGACTTAGGTGGAATGCATCATTTCCGGTAAAAAGGATCTCCAGTTCTCTACACTCACCATACAAAACACAGCAGCATTAAGCCACTATTTTATGCTGGTATTCTGTGAGAGTGTGGTTCTTCCCCGGTCGAGCCGACCCATTCGTGCTACAAGTATACTACCAATATAACTGCAGCATGGTTCTACCACATATATGTAATATATTGTCTTTGTACTCCTAAATATGCCTGTGGCGCAGTGTGGTGTCTATCCATTTTCCAATAATAAATTTAATATAAGCCTAATGGTGTGAATACAAATACGGAATATAGTAGTATATTATAACAAATGTATAATAAGATAAAAGAAAAATTTCAAATATAATTCAATCAAAGAATAGATCACCTTGAATGTAATACTCATATCTGGAGTATATCGACATGACCAAAGTGCTTTCAGTAAAGCAGCTAATTGTTCTGTAACTTCACCACGAGTGCCATACTTTTTTGAGTTTATTTTATTTCTTTTTTGTAAATCGACCTGCAATAAAAATTATAATAGATATAAAATAACTTTTTTTCTATAGATAGTTATTTTGTAAAGTATGCTCAAATTTGCAGAGGAGGTTCAGAATAGATAATATCGGCAAATGGCAAAAAAAATAATAAAAAACCCAACAATTTTGTTGGGTTTTTTATTATTTTTTCCGCCATTCTTTACATATTTTAAATTCTGAATATGTGGAAATACATTATTTATATAATGCCTACTATTTTACTACGCACGCATATAAATATCAATATCGGTTACAAATTTGGGTACCTTCCTTAACTTTACACGGCTAAGTACCTAAATTTGTAAGGCCGGCCAACAGCTGTGTTGACCATGACCTTATTATTTAGGAGTGTGCTATTTTAAAATTTCGCAAGTAGTATCACTTGCTACTACATTAACAATTTGCTTTACTTATGTGGCAACACTGCAACAAAAATATATGTGTTTTAAAATTATATATGTTTGAAATTAAATATTAAATTTGTATACTTAGAAAAATGACCTTTATAGTATTCTGAATTACAACAAAATTATGGCATACTGTTGGAATTGAGACTCAATTGTACAAAATCTAAAATAAATTTGAAAGCTCAAGCTTTCGTAATGATTTTTTTTTTTTTGAAACACACTGAATATTACCTTGTGTAAGTTTTGATGATAACTTTTACAACTTACAAACAATTTATAAATGTTTTATGTAAATAAATTACTTTGTACTTACTAAAAATATCTATTTCAATATTAGTTTTTTTATGTTAACAAATATGTCAATGAAACAACACAAAAATTATGCAACCATAGAGTACTTTAAATACAAATGAAAGACCAACTGTATTTCATCTGAATGATGCAACAAAAGTATGATATTGATTACATAGACAGAGAAACCTATAGACTAATAATTAGCGTGGTCTCGAGTGAGAAAGGACAATATATAGTTTTAGGTTATACAATAATCTTTATAACTTTTAAACATATTTAGATAAAAATTTTCTTTCTAAGAAAGTTGTTTAGCAAAGAGTAGTTTGCTAAACAAAAAAACCAGCACAGAGAAAGGGACAAACAATCACATCGCTCTTCCTCATTTCTATGCAAGGCATAAATCTATCTTTTTCGTACGTGAATGCGAAAGAAGGTGTCAATTTGTCTATAGGTTTCTCTGTCTACAATTGATTATGATAATATAAAAGCTAGCCAAATTTCTTATGTAATCTGTGTAAACCATCAAAATTGACATCAAATTTACATTGATTCCAAAATTAAAACTGATAACTGCTACACTATTAATTAAAATTGAATGTTTTTGTACCTTATAGTGATCTAAAACAAAATATTCAGCTATAACATCAGTATGTGAAAGGCACTGAAGAACTGCATTCATGTAGCAAGTGTTGCCATGATTTTTAATTCCAGTTGCAGCAGGCGTTGCACCTGGCGGCCATGGCGGATCGCCACTGCAGGGCACTCGTTCATTATTTATAATTGTGGGCACTGTTTTAACCTGGACAATAATTTATCAATTTTATCATGTTACATTCATAACTATCAAAATATGACACAAGTTTTGGACTTACTCCTGATACATTTACAGTGCTCATATGCTGCGCTATCTTATTCAAGAAAATCTTCCATGATGGCCTTCTAAATAACTTCCTTTCAACAGTTCCTTCATCTTTTTGCGATGCTCCAATAATTATGCCAGTTGTAGACTTATTGTCGCTTTCAATACCTTTGTTTCTACTGGAGCTAGGTTTGATTGTCCCAAAAGGATTACGAGGTAAAGTAAAAGTACGTTTCAATCGGGATCCTTCCACCTGTTTTTGTGTCATGCAAGTCTCAGCAACCTCATTAATCAACTCACCCTCAGAGCAAGACTTCAAAACTGACGAAAGATTATTAATAGACATAATGAGAAAACTGAGATTTTTGTTAAATAAAGCTATTGCAAATCAAACATCATAAAATGAAAACCAATTAGAAAATATTGACTATGCTTTTGACAGCTACGCCATTTTGTTTGTCATCTATGACACATTTTTTTCTTATTTTTAATCAAGTTTTTGGCTTAGATACTTGTCTTTTAAGCCAAGAAGCTTTTAGCTTTAGAAGATTTTAGCTTGAAAAAAAAACAAGTGGCCCAAAACAGTTAACAACACATAAGGGTTACAAGACAAAGGAACTAAAATCCTTACTTATACACGTTTAAAAATATGTAATACATTTTAAAATCCAAATTAACATTTTTTAGGCTATTTTAATACATTTAACCGGAAGTAGTAACAAATTAACAATTCTTACAACATCAAAAGTAATTCACAAATGGATTAAACACTTATTCGAAACTAAAATTTAATTCTCAAATTATCTTTGATCTAGCACGTGCATTTCATTCGGCATCTTCGTTTTTATGGATTTTTTTCTTCACAATATACTTATGCGGCACATTGCGATGTTTTTGGGAGAATTTCAAGACATCTCAAACCAGCGTTCAGTCGATGACAACAGTCACTTAAGTTCATAAGCCGCCAAAGCGATTAAAATTACAAGAGGTTTATTATCAACATCGAAAAACGTGTTTCGGCGTTTTCTCTAATAGTATAAATGCGCAGACACATAATGCACAAAATCGCATAACTTTCTTTAACGTATTAAAATCGACTTCAAACCCTTATTTAAACGATATAACAGGAGCAAAAATCTTTGAGTATTCAACTAACTGGAGAGGTCATGCGCGTTATTTCCTAAACAAAAATTCTGTAAACTTAAGGGGGGGCGCAAGAAAACCACACTACTGTATACTTAACTACAAATGAAAAATTACAAACGCAGAATACAGCATTTGTGTTTGTGTTCATCGCGTTTATGCATACCATCAAATTGTACACGTCTCGATACACTGATGGCGCTGTCTGAATTCGGAAGCAACGTAAGGCGTGGACTATATAGATGTTTTTTATCGATAAACAAATCACCATATTCCCCATAAGTTTTCATTTGATTAAAAGTAATACATAGATAAATAATACCAAGGTGTTATTTGAAATTCTTTTTTAAAGTATTTAGAAATGTTCTTCGGAAAAAACTTAGAAATTATTGAAACTAAGTTTACTATTTTGCTACAGGTTTATTTCACATTATGCAGGATAAAATTTAAAAGATTTAACAAATCGAAATAGGTTTAGTTAACTTATTTTAAAAATCAGATTTTTTGAAAAGAAAAGTCCTATCAGTTTTTCGTCTTAGATGGTGTTAACCAAATTTTTGTTTTTATTATAAAGCTTCAATCACAAAACCGCTAATTAAAAATAGTTGTTGATTTTCAAGAGTTATTAAATGAACTGTCTGGAAAATATTTAATAAATAAGGAAAACAAAAACGTTTTACATTATATAATAGTTTAACAAAGTGAACTTTAAGCAGACAGCTGCTTAAAAATAAAACGTGACATCTACCTAGGGCTAAGTATTCCCCAGAAAGATGTTTTGCTTTAACTTTACATTACTATTCACCGAAAGCTTAACAATATGTGCGAAATATCAAAAGTTTTGAAATTGGTCTGCCTTCATCACATACTATAACAAAGTAGTACAGTACAATTTGTGGCCGACTTGGCTACACAAAAAAAGCGTTAACTATTTTAATTTAAAACTTAGACTAGAGACTAACCCTGACAAGAAATTATTTTGTATATTAGTGATATATGAAATGAAAATAAAACAATTGACGTATTACCATGCAAGTTCTAAGACATTTTGGTTATATACATAATGCCTTTGGCTACTAGCATGGTAATCTGTCAATTGCTTAATTTTCATTTCATCCATTACCAAGGTACAATAAAAAAAATATCAGGGTTACTCTCCGCTCTCAATTTTAATCAAAGCAAACATGTTCCAAAAGTTTTACGTACATAGCGATAGGCTTTTGGTGAGTAATAGTTAAGTGTTAGGGCATAGTATTTCTTGCAAACTTGTGAAGCCTGCTTATGATATTGTTTTTTTATGTCAAGGCATTTTTTTGTTTTAATTTTCCTTGGCCTAAGTGTTGGCTCGTACTTGCAGTGGGAGTAGGACTAGTTCGGGCTATATAAGGATTTTTTTTTCGAATTGTGACTTTCGAGATAACTTATGGAATTTTGCCGGAACATCCAGCTTTCTTTTTCGATGTAGACAATATTGTGCAATCACCACGATCACCCTAAAATAAATAATTCTATTTTAGTCAGAAGATTCAAGTTATATATATATATATATATATATATATATATATATATATATATATATATATATATATATATATATATATGATAAAGATATTTATTTCGTAAAACATGAGTAAATAAAATACAAATGTTAAAAAAAACTTAAAACGCTAAATGTTTTGCCATTTATGGCGTACAAAAATTATACTACATTAAGTTTACAATTACAATAATAGGTATATAAATATATGAATTAAATTTGATAGGTTAGTGCTTTTGTAAACTTAATAAAATATTTTCAAGTAGAATAATATTGGTGTCAAAGGTAATAATAAAAATATTTAATCTAAATATAATTACAGCCCAACATTACCTCCCACAAGTTCAAGGTTGATACTGCAGTGTCAGATTCATGGTTTCTACAAGCTACAATCCAAGTGTGCCGCCTAAGAGGATCTCTTGGAAATCTGTAATAACAAACCAATAATAGAAAAATGTACTACTTTTTGTAATACGTTATTATATTAAATCTAAATAAAAACTGCAAACCCGTTCGGCAGACAAACCCGCATGTTTAATTAACTTATCGATAGCTAAAGTTGCGGCGTTCATCACTATAGTGCAATACTTTCGGTTGCAGTGATACCACTTTATTTTTATAAAAATTGCACACTTTTGCTGCGAGGTAGTAAGTTTCGATTTGACTTATTTGGCCTGTATTTTGTATAATATTTCAATAAATACTAGTTATCATTTAATTATATAATATTCAGTATGGTGTTAAAATTGAGCTGAATATATAAATCATTTAACGAAATCCACTACACATCTATATGTAATGATTATTATTCATCACAAACCAATTTAGTTTAGTTCACAAAACTCCAGCTTTCCTCCAAGGTAAAATACCTAGGTCTTACCTTGGACAGTAAACAGAAAACAAGATCAGCAAAGCTAGTTTAACTTTCTGGCAATGCAGAAACATGATTGGAAAACGATGGGGTTTAACACCACAAATTATACTGTAGCAGATGAACTGGCCAGAAGGGAATCGGCCCTGGCAACTATAGGGCTGGAACCAATAATACCAATCCCCTTTGGCTATGTTCGTTCACTGGTACTTAGATACTTCAATAATTTACAAGGTCAGCTTTGGAAAATTTTTGTAGACTGTAGACAAGCTAGGGAGGCCCTACCTGAAATAAACAGTCGTCTAACCAAGGTTCTAATGAGACTGAACAAGCCACAGATCAGGATAGTAACAAGTGCTATCACAGGACAATAATAATGGCTCTTTTATCAAACATTTGTTCACCATAGGTGTTACTGATAGCCCCCTGTGCAGGGCTTGCATGGGAGAAGAAGAAACGGTGGCTCACGTGTTGCTGACATGTCCAGAAGTCGCTTCATACAGGGCTATATATCTCGGCACGCCGGGATCGCCCCCCGAAGTTGCTTGCAACATCAAGGGACTACTGAGCTTCTTCGGGGGAGATATCATGGCTCGAATAACCATAGTATTCCTGCCCACATGCAAAATACGCGCTTAGACGTGGAGTTGCGGAAAACAGCCCGTCGTAAACTAAACTAAAGTAAACTAAGGACTGTATTTAATTAAAAAGTCTATATGGATGTGTACTGTATAATAATTTTATTTGTTTTTGAATTGATAACTCCAAATAAAGTACGTCTTATTCATATAGTACGAGAAAGAATATACATGCACAATTTCATATAATGCTTTCCTGTATTAGTTTTTGTGGAACGGTTTATACACAGCACATTAGGTTTGGTCAAAAAATATCAATATATTGATATTTACTCATAAAATTATCAATATGTTTCGTAGATATATTTGATCGTGATGTGTCAATATTCGACATTTATATATGTCGAACGTTTTCGGCATTTCGAATTCATATGAATTCCAAAATATTTTTAACGTAACTCGGATTTTGTATTTAGTATAACTAAAACCGTTCACTGATTTGCGTAGATAACGCTGAGGAACAACCACAACGACGAGTTTTAATCATATTAAATAATTGTTTGAACTTTAAAGCTTAAATAAAAAACGTCGTAAGTTCACGCGCGGTAGTGCTTCAGAAATAGAGACCGAGATAATAGAGAAACACTGTATATTGTATTCTATCTCATTCTCTCGCAGGCTTAATCCTATAGATGTATATGTTTATTTTTTTAGAGCCATATTTACGCTTCATCGAGTTTTAAATCCAAAATGATTCTAAAGAAGATTTCCGTTCTAAAAAATTCTTCATCTATACTACTTTTATAAAATATTTTGCTAGTGAAATAAAAAATGGGGACACGGAGTATATAACGCTTTATTTTTCCTGTAAGTATTATTTTTAATAATTACAAACATTAAATAATTAAATATATTATAGAAGTTAATTTTAACATTCGTCTTAAATATGGAAGTTATTTATAAAGGATATATTAATAATTTAAGTAAGGAAACATGTAGCAATCAGTAAAAAAAGATTACTCTGTTTAAAGGCCAATATGTTTATGAGGTTACTCCCTATTTAATCTGACCCAGAAAAATATAAAGTAATAATAAAATAATTATCATTTTAGGTGTATAAATTATAAAAACATAACTATCTTAAAGGAGATTAGCTAAATACTCAGGAGATATTAACAGCGAAGGACCGAGGCTCAAATCCATAAGACATCACTGTC